GAGAGTGAAGGAAAAGTCCCCAGGAGTCATGTGCAAATTGGACATAGAGAAAGCATATGATCATGTCAGTTGGAGCTTCCTACTTGAAACCATGCAAAGAATGGGCTTTGGATTGAAATGGATCAGATGGATAAAATTTTGTATAAGCACTGTTAAATTCTCAATACTGATAAATGGATCTCCTGAAGGCTTCTTTTCATCAGACAGAGGACTAAGACAAGGTGATCCTCTCTCACCTTTTCTATTCATTATAGTGATGGAAGGCCTAAACAACATGCTAAAGACTGCTCACACTAAAGGGTGGATAAGGGGCTTTAATGTAGCAAATGAGGGGAATCTAAGATTGGAAGTCACTCATCTCCAATATGCAGATGACACTCTCATCTTCTGTGATGCAGAAGAAAGCCAACTTAAGATCCTGCGAGTGATACTCATTCTTTTTGAAGCAACTTCAGGACTACATATCAACTGGAGGAAAAGTCTGATTTTTCCAATTAATGAGGTGAACAGAATGCAACATCTGACAGAGATCTTGGGAGGAGAAATAGGTAAACTACCAACAGTATATTTGGGGATGCCTTTGGGAGCCAAAAGCAAATCCAATGAAATCTGGAATGGGGTGCTGGAGAGATGTGAAAGAAGACTATCTAGATGGAAAGCACAGTATTTGTCTAGAGGTGGAAGATTGACCCTGATCAACTCAGTCTTAGATGCTTTGCCAACATATTTGATGTCAGTTTTTCCTCTCCCCCCTAAGGTGGAGGAAAGAATTGATGCATTAAGGAGGAATTTTTTGTGGAATGGAGAGAAAGAATACAAAGGATTTCATTTGGTCAAATGGAAGACTGTAATTCTTTCAAAGAAACAAGGTGGGTTAGGCATTAGAAACCTGAAGAAACAGAACAAAAGCCTTATGATGAAGTGGTTGTGGAGATTTCCTAAAGAGGAGCAGGCTCTTTGGGTTAGAGTGATTCAGGCCAAGTATGAGAAGATAGATCACTGGAAAACTAAGGAAGTGACTTCTGCCTATGGTATTAGCCTATGGAGATCAATCAAAAATTTGTGGCATTGTTTCTTTCAAAGAACTAGATTCAATATAAACAATGGAAGAAAGATTTTATTTTGGGACGATAATTGGTTAGGAAATGGCAGCCTCAAACAGCAGGCGCTTTCCAGACATCTACTTGTTGAATCAGCAACATGAGGCCACTGTGCAAGAAGTTTGGTCCATCCGTGGATGGAACTTAACATACAGAAGGATGATACAAGACTGGGAGGTGGATAGACTAGCTGAATTTTATGGCACCCTGGACCATTTTGGAGGATTGAAAGAGGGAGAAGACACTCTTACGTGGATTCATCACAGCAAAGGTATCTTCACAGTTAGCTCTGCCTACAAGAACCTGAATCAAATGGGGACTCAACTCAGATTTTTGCCTTGGAAGCTTATCTGGAAAGTCAAAATTCCATATAAGGTGGCAGTCTTTACTTGGTTGATAGTTAAAGAGGCGGTACTAACACAGGAGAATCTAATGAAGAGGGGAATACATATGTGTCCTAGATGTTTTTTTTGTGAGCTACAGGCAGAGACAATCAACCATCTGTTTCTTCATTGCAAGGTGGTCAGACAATTGTGGCACTTATTTACTAGCTTCAGGGGCACAAACTGGACCATGCCACAAAGGGCAAGTCAGGCTATAGAAAGCTGGAACACTGAAGGCAGTGGCAGTACAGACCAAAGCAGATGGAGAATTGTCCCAGCAGTGATTTGGTGGACCATATGGAAGGAAAGAAATATGAGATGCTTTGAGAGTATTAGTAGTCCCTTACACAGGATCAAAATGAATTGCATAATCACTTTTTGCTATTGGTGCAGTTTGGAGTATGTAGATGATCCTATAGTTGTTATAGATATCCTAGGTTCTTTGTAAGTTGAAGTAGGTTCTAGTTTTGTTTTGTTTTGAGTACTCGCAACTGTATGTAGCTCCATGATGTAAATTTGGGATCCCAGCCTTTAGTGTTGAAGATTAATACACAAAACTGTTACCTTTGTCAAAAAAAAAAAAAGGGTCTACCCCTCAACACTTCTCCACTTAAATACCAAGCTTTTTGTCTAAGACAGGGTTCAACCCGTGTGGTGAGCCAAACCGATGCATTAAGCATTGTGCTCTTGCCACTAGACCAAAGCCTCAGGGGAGATACCTTTAGTCTGAAGATACCTAATTCACTTAAACCTACTTTTTAAAGTTAAAGAAAAATAACAAACTACTTCTTTCCTTTTCTTTTCAGCTTTCGCACAAATGAAATAAACATGTGGAGACAAATCTTCCCCAATCTAACATTAAGGAGTATGTAATTTGAAGTATTGACTCAATAATGATAGTGCCAGATTTCTAATTTTAATTACCAATGCTACCTTACAAGTTAAAAGAAAAGGTATTGACCCAATAATCAGTCCCAAGTTTAAGATTAAAGAACACGGAGAGCAGATAATATTTATTGTAATGTTAAACCAAATCTTTTTCACAAATAATATTGTAATGGTTAACACAGATCTCTTTTATGATTCATTGTGTCTTGCATCTCTGGCTATAATTATTTTGCATGTCCAAGTTAAATCATCTCCCCACTATGCCATACAGTTCACAACATTAATACTTCAAATAAATAGCATGAAACTTGAGCAAAAAGTATAACCTACGTACACACAATGAGAAACACAAGAAGCCACTTCAATTGTTCATGATATTTTGATATCCAAGGCCATAAGAAGAAGAATGATAAAAACATATGAAACAATTTGGGCAAGCAAATATGATAAGGGAAAGTTGCCAAAAAAAAAAAAATCTCCCACTCCCTAGCATCCTTAGAAATAGAATAAAATTCCAGTACAATATTTTTAAACACCAAAAAAAAGGTCAAATGGAACAGTAGATGTTTCGACAATAGATCCAATTCCATACACAAGGTCAAATGGAATTGTATAGTATCTCTACTTTTTTGGTGTAAACAGTTGTGTATAGTAGATACAGACCAGATTGTAGATTTGATAGGAAGTTTGTAATTGACACTTTTTGGTGGTGGCCAGCATGCCCTTAATGCTGAAGAATACAACCTTACCAGTTTCAAAAAACAAAAAAAGAGCACTTTTAGCACTTCCTTTGTATAACCAAACAATCAGTGGTTAACATCTCAACATTTTTTCCTGTAGGTCAACATCTTAACCATTCTTTTGCATGGAAAATGTAACCTTGGTCAAAGAGGAGAAGCAACAACTTCTCAGAAAAATATCACTAGAAACGTGATCGTTGGTCTACATTCCTCGTGAATCTAGCTAGATGCCAATAAAAGATTATAGGTACTGATAAATTGCTGTTACTGTATGTCCCCATTATTGAAACACAGTGTCAAGCAATCAAGCATCTGAAATGTAGAGCAGAAAAGAAGCTAAAGTACATTCATACCTCTGGTTACCTTTTAATCCTAATTCCTTGAGCTTCTCCGAAAGTGGCATGACAGGTTCAGTAACAATATATATGGTAACCTTAGTAGTAGAACCATCAAAAGTTTCTGCTTCAGTGCTGTAAAGAAATGACAAAATATTTGGATGCCTAACCTGAAAAAAACAAACTGGCATTTAGAGGAACTCTGATGAAAAGGAGAAAAGAGTACTCCAAATACAAAACAATGCAAAGGGTAATTATACTCCCAATTTACAACCAATAATTAGCTTACAGTGCGAAGTCGCTTGACTCCATTTCTACCAGCAGCTAGATGTCCATCATTTGCATTACTCCCCGTAAGCACAAATATTGAGACAGGAGCACCATCATCCTGTAAGAGAGAAGATCAACTTCCCTATTGGCATGCAGGAAGGGATGACATTGCTTCTCTTCCATTTAGGGGATAAGGAAAAGATGAAAATATTGTGAAAATAGTACACACCTTTGCTAAGTAGCTGGGTAAACTAAGCATAAAAGTGCTCTATATGCCATTGGTTCGTTCAAATATTAAAGCTAACGGAATCTCACGAGTTACAATTCCATCAAATAAGGAATTGCTGTTACGATCAGTGTTGTCTAAGGCACGCTTAAAGTGCGCTTAACCCCTGAACCGAGGCTCAAAACGTGTTGAACGCTTTGCCTCGCTTAATGTGCGTTTCAGTATCGTCATCAGGTTCTAATTAATATTTTTTCTTGCTAAAAACAATTGATATTTCACTTTATCGTAAAAAAAAAAGTTCAGTTTCTTTGTTCATATTTGTCATTCGTGCTAAATACTATTAAGTCTCAAACTAAATCAATAAATTTGTAATTTTTTCTCTCTTTGTGCTTTTCTCCATTTAAGCCCATGCTTTACTTGCGCTTAAGCCCCTACAGACCTAAGAGCCTTTTTGTGCTTTTTGCTTTTAATAACATTGGTTACATTTCAATTTGTTTTAATAATGGGGACATATAGATTACATTTTAAATTGTTGTTGCTATATGTCCCATCATCAAGCTAAAGAAAAGTTACCTATGGATGGTTTCAGCCTTTCCGGAGAGATAGAGATAGACCAAAGAAGTATTCGGGAGAGATGATTAGACGGGATAGCATGCAACTCCAACTTATCGAGGACATGACCTTAGATAGGAGGCTATGGAGGATATAGATTAGGGTATAAGGCAAGTAGGTAGTTGAGTGATGTCTTGTTGTTCGTTCATATTAGTAATCGTAGTATTGCTCCTGTAATTTCTTATCCTTCAATTTATGTTACTATTTGTTGTGTCTTGTACCTCGATTATCATATTGTTTTCTTATAGTTTATGTTCTATTACTATTTGTTGTTTTGTTATTATTTGTGGTTTCTTGTACTTTTGTTACTTCTTTTTGGGACTACTTTTTTTTTTTTTGAAATGGTTCTTTTTGGGACTACTTTGGACTATTTTTCCTTGAGCTAAGGGTCTATCGGAAACAACTTCTGCACCTCTAAGGTAGGAGTAAGGTCTACGTAGACTTTACCTCTCCAGATTGTAGGACTGGTATGTTGTTGTTGTTGTATCAAGCTAGAGAAACATTTTTTATGGCTAAGCAACAAGCATCGATCTGCATACTAGGTAAAAGTAGAACACATAGGAAGTAACTTCAAGAAAAAATTCATATAGGTGATATCAACTAATTGAGATTAAGGCTTAATCATGTCAAGATACTTCCTTTCGGTCCAGTTTTTGCAAGGATTATTTTTAGACTGTTTAGAGAAAGTATGCCGGTAGAAAACCAAGGGAAACTCTACTTATAGAGAAACCTAAACTACTGCATATTGGAATGAAGCGGGTACAAATGGGAGCGGAATGGGTGGTGAGGATTTGTATATCCATCCCCAACATGTTGAGGTACAGTTGTTGTTGTTGTTGTTATATAGCAACAAGGTTTGTGTTGCATAAAATATCCCTACTTATGAAGCTCACTTATTGAGTTGTTATTATTTGGCTCTACTTGACTCTTTTTTTACCATTACTTCTAAATGGAACAGGAGAAGAGACTGATGTGTTTGTTCCAGAGAATTTCATAAGAATAATCAAAATAATATCATCCACAGATTTTGGTTAAGTTCTTTTTGTAAAAATGGAAGGACATAAACAAAATAAAAAAATTGAAAATTGTTGTAGTAATAAGTGATAGCCTGTAGCCGCTCAGCAACAGCATAGATTCTTTTTAAACATTATAGAGGAACCTCTATATTACTACCATCTTTGGAAAAGATTGGTTGCTACCATTATAAATATAGAGTAAAGTTTATGCCATGCTAGCAGAGAAAACAGTAGAAATTCTACAAATGAGTCAATCTCAGCTGTGTACCAATTAGAATGACAGTCATTCCATCAGTTGAGTTACATTGATGAATATGATTTCCAAAATGAACCAAGAACAGGAAACTATCCCCCAAAAACTGCCTACATGAAGAGAGTTTGGCATCTCATTGCATGAAACTAAAGGACCTGTGTTGAGATTAATGTCTTTTGTTGATTAACAAACCCGAAAGTATTCTGTGAAGAAAGATGCAAAAGAGACAGGTCCATACTGCATGAGTCTTACGTGTTTTGGAAACTGCATATATGGTAAAGATTTTGTGCTGACATATTTTTAGAGGATATATAGGAAATTATATTTATATTTTTCCTGTATTATTCATAAATATATGAGAGATATTGACAAGATCTTCAGGGTAATTGCATTGGGAAGGAGATATTTTTGGGAAGCCGTGTCTGAAGAATCCTTCTGGTTGTGCAATTTGATTTGATTTCAGTTTTCTTAACTGATAAGGATCTTCGGAATATATGGTTTCCTTGTTTATGTGCTTACTAACGAGAAAGAGTATACATTGTATACTTACTGCAGGAAATCATCATTTGTACACATTGAGTTTCC